GAAAATATGATTTATTTATAGGAAAATTCTAGCACTACTTTGTAGACGATTTTAAATTCTTGTCAAAGTCTTGTTGTTAATATAAGAGTATACTGGTTTTCCCGCAACCTGATCTAGATAAAATAGCACATAGTTATTCATCTCCTCTTAAGTCAGCTCCAATGTGCTTAAAAGTTTGTCCATGCAAATGAACCATATAAGAATCTGTGCTAGCGTAAATATATGGGTTGTTAATTGCCGTTTAGGATTATTGCTCGGTTGCTATGGGTCGTAGTTTGATATTATAAAGCTCCTATGTTTTATTTATTATTATATATAGCGAGAAGTACATTTATACTGATAAAAAAAAAAATAAAAAGATCATACTTTAACTTTGATACCGGCTATTTTTAAAAGATTCAAAAGTACAGAAAAGCTAAATTTGTTTTCTCTACCTCATATTTTTTTTATTATGACATTCGTGACAAATGTAAATGAAAACAGAAGAATAAACAAAATTTCTCTACTCAGCTCATTTATTAATTTATATTGTAGTTAATTTCCCATAATTTTCAAAACCCGCCACAAAGTCCAACTTAAGTGTATTATATTGAATTAAACGCTAAATTAGAATTAATTTTTGTTAGGCTCAACTAATATTAACTAGCAATAAGGTCCGACCCACTCTCTTGGTTTCGGCGAAAAATCCCGAATATAAATTTCCTGTTCCCCGCAGGGAGGGGGGGGGGAGAGGAGAGGTCGGCCAACACATCACGATTTAAAAGATCAAATTATCTTTTTTCATCCACGTAAGTAGGGTTTATAGCCATTACAAATTGAAAATAATTAAATAAAATTTGTAAATAGTAGTAGTAACAAATAGCTTTATTTAATGTACGAAAACTATTAAAAATTAATTAAAAATGGCGATAGGTGGAAAATATTCTTTGTTACTTGGCAATGATGACTTCCAAACAACAATTGAATAAATTTATTTTATTTCCAAATTACATGCTTACATGTTAACGTTTCGAGATATTTACTCCCATCTTCAGAACTACAATTTCAATGATTTTTTGTTGATACATGGCTAAATAAATGGAGTTAAAATATTTACTGGTTTTTATTTGTATAATTATCAATAATATTATTACAATTATCATTATTGATTTTCGTTGATGAGAATATTCTCAGCTCTAATATGAAACTTGGATATAATAAAAATAAAATAATATTCTTCTGTGATGCCAGCCATTTAAGGTACATTTTTCAACTATGATACAAGGTAAATTATAAATAAAAAGAATTTCAATACGTCATAGTTTTTTTATTATTTATTTTTTATTTTTTAGATTTTGTAGAAATTTTGTCTACTCCATCTCTGAACGAGAAATAAGGGTTAAAAGCAATACGAAAACAGCCGAGAGCGCCCGACCTTTCCCGATCCTCTCCGTTTATAGGTACTCTGTACAGAACTTTCTTATTGTTAACTTGACTTTTATATATCATTTATAAATAATTTTCTGAAATGGTTTTCACACGGAATAAGCAGGATCTAATAATATATTATATTTAGTAGCGTTAAGTTATTTTTTTGACAAGTTTCGAGATAAATGTTCCGAAAGTTCCATTTTCCTCACAATCATTAGTATTTTTTAATACTAAACATAAAAAGAAGTCAAAAGCGATGCAAACGTATACATTTAACAGATTCTATGGGCGGGAAAAACATGGTAATTAATTGTTTGTGTCTCTGTCCAGCCTCTATTGGTAATACCAGTGATGCGGCTGAGTGAAAGACCCTGGGATCTCCTAGAGTCCTGCCTTTCCCTTCACGAGTGAGAAGAAAGGCTTGAGTGAATGAATATTGTATAAAACTATGTGTGTATTTAATTAATTATTTTGTTAGATTTGTTTATTTTTGTTTATATGCATTTACTTTTAGTATTATTATATTGCTGTTTATTTATTGTGCATAGTATGAACGAGCTACTCTAAATCACTATTACTATTGTCCTTGAATGTGACAGATTGTAATATAACTCAATAAAGAAAATTCCTTTAAATGAAGGCATACAGTCATTTTCATTTTCAATTCTGTAAAACTATATGAAAATCCCTATCTACTCTAAAATTGTTAAGTGAAAGTTGTGTGATGCGCGCCAGATTTTATTGTTGGTTTGGCGCTCTAGTCTATGCTGATATATAAAAATTTAATTTATTTCAATAATATTCAGATTTATTATTCAAATTAAAAATATGATTCCTTTTAATGACAAATTTGTAGTTAATACATCAATGGAAATCTTTTCTCTCCTCCATTAATGTTACTGCGTAATAAGTGACTCTACTCAGTTGGATACTTTTTACTTTTCTGTAACCTACCATTAAACAGATCTCAGGTTCATTCCTTTTCAGATGATTAAAACATATTAAAACATTCTAAAGTGCTTCTCGGAAGAATGTTCTGTTTAGATAAATCATTTCGCTAAAAAAAGCAAAAAAAAAAAACCAATGGACACCGCTTGATGGCTTCTAGATACACAGAACTAAATTGATTTCCCAAAAGAACAAAAAAGTAGCCGCTCCGCTAAAAGACCGGAGAGCTCAGGTATCGCAAAAGCCCTCACTATTAACTCGCCAAGGGAGCCATTAAAGAGAACACAACATCTGACAGCACGAACCCTCTGTCTTCTCCAAGACTTCACCTTTTTTTTCTGTTTCTCTCAAAGGATGAGGGCCTCCCCCCTCCCGAATGATGCCTTTGCCATCGAGTATAGTTCTCTATACCTTCTCTATATGTCTTTTCATATTTATAAATAAATAAGTATATATATATATTAGTCCACTATACATAATAATAATGCTTTATTTATTCTGGGATGCATCTCTTTAGAATAATACATATAGACAAAAATGTCGGCTAAGTAGCCTCAGAGATACATAAACAAAAATATAGAGTAAGTAAATAGTCAAAATAAAAATATAAAATAAAAAACATTATAAGTTACTTGCTAATTTAAATCAGTTAATAATAAAAAATTGAAAAACATAAACATGAAGTAAAAATAATGAAGAACGATCTAATAATTTATATACATATTCACAGTAGTAGCTATTTACAATTTCATAGGGACTGGATGGGTAAGAAATGATTGAACGGGCGGGTTTTAAAGGTAGGAAGGGTATTGGATTGACGGATCTCGGGAGGAATGGAGTTCCATTTGTTTATTTAATGAAGTACTAAAAAATCATGAGCATCCATTTTCTTTTAACTTGAATCATGAGATGATTTGATCACACAATCGAGACAAATGTTGGCCTACAAAATATTGGATCCTTTGGCGTCACGGTCACCACAACTTGTCAAATTAACGAAGTTATAAAAGCCCAATATTTTTGTAGGCCACCTTTTTTTCTCGATTTCGTGATCGAATTTTCTTACGATTCAAGTAGAAAGAAAATGGGAATTCAGAGGTTCTTAGTAATAGTAATTGAATATTAAAATTTCATTTAAAAAGAAATGAAACCCGTTTCTAAAAATTTTTGTAAATAAAAAAATTGTAGCTTACAATAAGATAAAGCCATTCACGATAGAATGTGATCCGGACTATAACCATATGATTAGAAAAATATTGAGTGGTATCCGGGTGTTCTTATTAAATAAAGGGATTGATAATTAAGAAAGCAACTTTGTTTTAAATATAAATAATAGAATATAAAATGAGAAAAAGAATCAATAACAAAAAAAATGTTCAATAGAAATATTGCAACTTTAAATTGCCATACTAAAAGAAATTACAATGATTTTAATTTTTAGAATATTACAAAAACTGACATTTTATAGTTCTTGGAAAGGTATTTACAGCTGTTAAAATCGATGTGGCACAGACCCCTTTTTATCGAATTATTAACTTCCGCCTGAAAAATAGTTTCATCTCATCGTAACCTTCCTACTATTTTATTTACAAAAACTCTTGGAATTGGGGCGTTTTCAATCAGAAGGTGGGTAAACTTTGTCTATTTAATTAGGTACTAAAAACTCGTAAATACTTGCTTTTTATTTGGATCGTAAGATAATTTGATCCCAAAATCGAGAAAATAGGTGGCCTTCAAGCCTATTGAGCCGTTTGGCGTGACCTACACCCCCATTTTTTCTAAATAACAAGGTTATATAGGACAAAGGGTCCAATATTTTTGTAAGCCACTTTTTTTATCAAATTATCTTACGATCCAAGTAGAAAGCGAAAATGTATTTACGAGTTTTTATTACCTTAATTTTGCTCCCCTTCAGATTGAAAACGCCCCAATTCCAAGAGTTTGCGTAAATAAAATAGTTGTACGTTACGATGAAATGAAACTATTTACGAAGTTTCAGGCGGATGTTAATAATTCGATATAAAGGGGTCTGCACCACGGAATATTAATACCATTTCCTCGATTTTATTCAAATATAAAATTTTTATTTTTCCCGACCTTTCGTTAAACTTTATTTTTAAAAATCTAATAAATATAAAACGTTAATATGAATATTGAATTTTTTTTTTATATACAACATTTTCAGGGAAATGTATACTTCTTTTAGTTTTGATGGAAAGGGCATTGGAAGAATCTAAAGGAAATAATATTTTTGTTTAAAAAAAATATATATAAAAGTTATTATATATTATTACGCTTACTATAAGTTAAGGTACACATAAAGTAAATCTAATAAGATGTCAATGACCTGAATGGAACACAAGATAATTGAAATTTTAAGACTTTAAATTATAATAACCTAAAATAATCCGTTGATATTATAAAATATTAAATAAGTTTTGATCGAGAAAAATAGTTCATTCACTCATGATTTTTTTTTCTATTCACCTCAAGTTTTAAAATAATTTCCCTAATATGCGTTGCCAGAAGCCACTGTCCCCCCCCCAAAAGTATACTATTTCGGCCCCCCTATACCCCATATTGATGCTTATTTGTAAATAAAAGTTAATGTTGTAAGTCCCCTTGGACTATTGACGATAAGCTTATCCCAGGCTAGGAATATACTCAGCGAATACAGCAGAAGCCGGCCTGTTACGAATTGCTGACCAACGCCTACAAAGCAGTTTGAACCAGCTGCTAGAGGGCAGAGGAATTTTGTTCTATAAGACAAACTTGAGTTTTCAGACTTTTTGATTTTTTTTTTTAAATTTATTAACATGAATATATAACTTTTATAAAGGTGACTAAAGAAAAATGAAAGAAGCATTGATAAAAATCACATATCTGAAATAAATAAATTTAAGACGGGAGCGTGAATTTGTTGTTATAATTCAAAATCATTATTGGGATACATACTTAAATTATATATTTTTATTAACTTGTAATATGTTTATATTCACACATGTTATAATATTAATGACAATCAGTGAGAGGGAGCAGTACCCAGCGGAACCTCCTCCTAGTGTGAAATCTGCATTAATTGTCGAGGAAGTCCCTCATTCAGTTCTTTAACCTTTTACGGACGTTACCTGCATGTGTGATGTGGCCAAGTCATTTATGAGTATGTTGATTTATCTTTTCTTTTATTTAATGAAGGTCTACAGTTTTTAACAGTATTTAAGGTAACCCATTTCAAAATAAATATAAATTCGACACTCCCCAATCTTCTCTTGAACAACTAACCTATCTCGTTCTATACTTCCGTAAAAAAACCTTGGTGTTGCCTCTGATCAAACCAACTCTTGGAAACCACACATCTCCCAAATTTCTCGTCGTATTATTTTCACTCTGAAACAGTTCAGCCCTCTACGCTATCGATTTCCATATAAATCCCATCAACTCCTGGTTTCCTCTCGTGGGTTCCCACACTTTGATTATGGTTATCTGGTGTACGGCGGACTCTCGGGAGAATTCGAAGTCAAACCTAAAGCCTTCGAAGCCTAAAGAATTGCTCAATAGGTTTTGTTTTCGTAATCTCAATAACTGCACATATAACCCAATATTACATCAATTTGAAGTGGCTCTATCCGTACAGACACCGTTGAACTTCCTTGCTACCTTTCTACACCAAATCATCAGAACTCAGCAAACTTCATATATTGTTCACAGCCTACAATTTAAATACTCCATTCAATCCAGCCCCACACTGGATCCCATACTTCTGACCTCTATGTTCCTCCTCACCAATTTGCTGCGTTTAACAAATCCATTGTAATTCAAGCCGTCTCTTTTTGGAATACCATCCCATCTCTCGATATCCGACATGCACATATGATGCACCGACATCAGTTTCCTCATTTAAATCTCTACTTTTTAAGCACCTACTCCTTTCCCAATCCGATTGATCAAGAAATGTACATACGAGAACTTCTTAAGTCATCAAGAAACTATTTTGTTTTACTTATTTTATTTAATTTTCCTATGTTTATTCTATATATAAGTATATCTTTATTTTTTGGTTTATTTTTTTTTCCTCCTATATTTTTATTTTAAGGAGATATTATTTTGTAAATATATATATGTTGTTTTATTTATTTATTTAATGAAATTGACAACTGTAAAAACAATACAACTTGTAAAACTGCACACATTGGAAATAATGGCATGAACAGACTTGAAGAGATACTGCCCAGTGGTAGCACTCCCTATTTAATTCTAGGTGAGAAGATCACGTGACCATCTTGTTTTCAGACGCCTAGGGGGATTATCAGGAATCGAGGAGGAAGCAAGGCTGGAGACAAGGTGGATTTGGATGGGACTGGAGTTTATCATGAAAGGATAGGTATCTGGCTCAAGCTAAATCAGCGACATATGGAACATTAAGGTCTTTATGAATGGTTTTAGTTGTGACAAAATATGGAGCATTAAGGATTTTACGAAGGATTTTGGATTGTAAGGATTGGATAAGATAGGAATTCGATGGTTCGTTAGAAACCCAAAGTTAAACTCCGTATGTCCATATAGGTCTTATTATGGTTAAGTTGATGAGTCTTTTGTAATTAATTGAAAGTTTAGAACGTTTGTTTAGTAAGTAAGGAGCGGTCGGAAATTTTGTAAATATTTAATTTAATATATGGCCATGCAGGCATTTTTTATGTTTCTCCAATTTGTTCTAAAAGGACAACAGTCCCAGGATAAAAAAAATTCATTTCATTCTATTGAATAAATAAAACGTACCTCAACATTTTGTATCCGGGTTTTAAAAATGCAGCTCACATAAAAACTGTTACAGAAGAAGGTAGTTATTATAAAGCCGAATTGAAGATTATGATAATATCAAGTCGAGAATATTTGTATAAATATTATATTGTGAACAACCATACGTGAGATATAAACAATCCTTCGACAAGGATCGGTCGTCCTGCCATGAGGAGAGAGTACAGGACAAGACGAAGAGGTCCTGACGCAGCATCTCATTAAGGATGCCAATGACTGAGCTGCCTCCTGCTGGAGTGCAGAATGGAATGCATTGTCGGTGCAAGGGCCAGTAATTGACTCCGCTGGTGGACAACAGAGCTCGCCACGGTCCATTATCCCGCTCGACAATGGGAGAATGCTTGTCGTCCGCCCGGCCATATCCAAGGCCTTGTCTAAGTCATATAGCTTGTGGTGCCTGTCTCAGCGGCAGTAGAATCAGTAATAGTTCCTTTATAAAACAATTTTGATGTATCTCAAGATAGGGTATAAACAGAAAAAAAATCAGGCATACATATTCCTCTCAATTATTTAAAAACAAAAAAATATAGTTCAGTGAAATAATCTGTAATGCAATGAAATGGAAATTAGTTCCTTTTCTAAGGTATAGTACATTCAGTTAAATATAAACCTCGCCTGTAAGGTTACTACATAGTCCTGGAGTTAGGGCCCAAAAATCGATCTGTTCGGAGACGACTGTTTGATTGTAAATTACGAAAGTGTACGTTATTCTGAGTAAAAATAACCTTGTCTGCCGTTCCAGAGCCGCTGCTTTCAAAAAGGGCGGCTGATTTAAAGAGTATAATGCCAATAATTTGAGGATTGAAACGGGAAATCCATTGCGAAAAATGTGAGAAAAGTTTTTAGTATTTTACCTTGTATGTAGGGTTTAGACATGTGAAAAATAAAATTGCTAAAGCAGGACACCATGGGAAAACTTTTTACAGCCAAAAAAGTCAGATTTTTTCGATATTTTTTTTGTGTTTTCACCTATAACTCCTAAACGATGCATCAAAACGAAAAATGTATACTTTAATAAATTGAAGAACGTTAAATTTAACCGTTAAGGTATAAAATCACGGTCAACCAACCAACTCTGATTTTTACAAAATTTGTCAATAACTGAGACAAATTACTATAAATGGCCTCTTAACTTGGAAATGAGCTCTCTAAGAGGAAAAATCCATCGAATCAAAGTTTTAGAGTATCAAATTTTGCGACTATTGAGCAAGCAACTAATTTAAATCAAAATCGGTAATCTCCCGATGGTTAGAGATTGGTAATGAAGGTAGACGTGATTTTAAATATTTCAACAGTATGGGTATCTATTCTACTGAGTTAGTTTTGTTCAGAGTCTGTTACATGCAGTATAAGCCTCTTTTCCACCCCTCAACAGCAAGGGATTTTGGTAAACGATGTGCCGAAAAATACCGAATTTTATAAAGGAGTAACGAATCCCGATTCGAGATATATAATTGGCCAACAATAAAAATGTCAGTACTCCGTAGACGCGAACTTTGCTGCTTTACAACTTTGATTCTATGGGTTTTTCCTCTTAGGGAACTCATTTCCAAGTTACAGAGCCATTTATGGTAATTTGTCTCAGTTTTTCGATCCTCAAATTATTAGCCTAATATTCTTTAAATCAGCCGCCATTTTTGAAAGCAGCGGCTCTGGAACGGCAGACAAGGTTCTTTTTACTCAGAATAACATACACTTTAGAAATTTACAACCAAACCTTCCCCTCCGATCAGGTCGATTTTTAGGCCCAGGCTCCAGGGCTAACATAGAAGAATACAAATTATAGTAAAGAGTATAAATTAGTCATTCCGTATGACATGGTTTATTAGGTAAAATAAAAAACATATAACTTGTTATTCTTCTACAGTTTGATTGATTAATCACAATGCGATTATTATTATTTGTAAAATAATTTATTTAATAACTGAAATACAACTAATATTATTCAAGATAAAATATTAATAGACTGGAAGATCCGCAAGCAGGAGACTACTTCCAGGAGGGAGGGATAACAGGGGATTTGCAATCTTTGCTAAGCCTAGTCCGATAAAAGCATTCTGATCGATACTAGTCACATCACATCTCCAAATATTTATAAAAATATATAATATATACAATCACAGTCACATTTTTTAAGTATCTGTATAGCTTTTAGACCTCAAATAATTTTTTAAAATTTGAAATAGATTATTTATTTTTTAAATTGGTATAGAAATAATTAAAAAATACGTTTTGACTCTAGGGAAAGTAGAAACCCACTTATGTTCTTCCTTTTACTGTCCCATTTTGTAATAAATAAAACAAATATTTATTGGTTAAATGATCTCTTCAGTTCTAGTACTTAAGTATGGATTGGTTAAATAAATGTCTTGTAAGTACTACTTTATACTTACAAGACATTCATTTTAAATCTTTTAACGTAGTCGCTTATTTCCAAACAGATTACGGTTTGTTTTTGATGAATTTTCAGAAAAAACTATACATTCTATTACAATTGAATATTAGAATCAATATTTAAATAAAAAATAAGAAATTTCTATTGGTAGCACATGTTTCCAATAATCACCGATTAATTTAATAGTCATTAATAAATATTGAAACTTAAATATGGACACTTTTTGAACGTATCAAAGTTAAAGGGTCATTTCGGGGAAAAAAACGGTTGAAGGGGATTAGATTATGAATGAAAAAAAGATGCGGCATAATTAGGGAGGGAGGGATTTTAATTTCATTTAAATAATAAAAGTTTTTTTTATTTATTATTTTTTTTTTTTTTATATAGAATAGATGGATATTTTGGAGTTCTAGCAATGGCCAGATTCTCCACTCAAGTCATGAGTGTCTGTGGCTGTAGCGCTCTTACTCATCCTCCGCTGGTTTAAAATACCAGTGAAGTGGCTGAGGGAGAAGCGTAGGGATCTCCTAAGCCTCCCTTTTCCCTCCACATGTGGAGGGGACAGGATTGGTCCGGAAATCACCTGGCAAATTGTAAATAATGTATATAGGTATGTTTTATATAAGGTGTTTGTTTTACTTTTATTTCTATTTTTATTTACTTATGTGTATATATATATTTTTTTTTTCTTTACTCTTTTGTCCTTTTTTCTTATTCTTTTGTTATTACTTTATTTATTTATATTTTTGTATATACGGTATGAATGCAGTCTCTGAACTATATTATAAGTGTCCTTAAACTGTGACAAATTGTAATATTTCTGAATAAAGTGTTTAATAATAAATAATATATATAGAATAGAAACATTTTTTTCTATTTATTTTTTTTTATTTTCTTAATATACATCGTAGCCAAGGATCTGGCCCATTTAGTGTTAGTAGGGTTTAGTTTTATAAGTAGAAGAAAATAAGTAAATAAGTACAGTATAAAAAGACAAAAACAAAAATATTTTTATATAACAAACATCATAAATATTATTATGCCCCAAATATTTTACTATTTATATATAAATATATTTATATCATAAATGAATAAAAATATATATATTTTTTATTGAGTATTAATACAGTCTACCACACTGAAGTGCATTGGTACTAGGGCTATAGTATTCATTCACACAATATATACATACAAAAGGAAAATAAATAAAAATAACCGAGTAAGAAGATAAAAAAAAAAAAAGATAAATTTACACAAATTACACACAACAAAGCAAAACAAATAGCAGAAAAATAATAAAAGTTTAAATAGCTATTTTTTAAAAATTTGGTAACAATTTTCGAAAAGAGGGACGATTTTTAAAATTAACTTATTTTCACACCAGTTTTTTTATTTTTAATATTAAGATTCACTTATGAAAACAAGTAAATTATCAACTGAATTATTTGGTTATTTAAATGGGGATCGATAGTTATATCGATTAAGGTTTACACTGGAAATAAGTGACTTAATCGTTAATTAATTTTATTCAATGACATTGAAGAAGAAACAAAAAATGATACTATGATACACAAAACTTTTCAATTTCCTCCAACATGAAACGGCCATATATAAAGACGAGATACATAAGACATACATTATCCGAAATGGCTACCTTGCGGTCTCGTGTGTTAGATCCTCGAGTTAGCGCCGTAACCTGTTGCGTTCTACTGAAATGTATCATACCAGCTTATGAGTAACAACATCGTACCGACCCACAGTAATTTTGAATATAATTTATTCGTTGTATAACATAAATTTAAGGAATGGGAATGGTAAATTTATATCGCCAGGAAGATATTTGATTTAAATTTCTGAGCCCTATCGGATAGAGCAATTTCTGTCAAAGGGAAATGAATGAAGAATAAGAATGTTTATGGGTTATTTATTGAGTTTGAAGAGAAGCCCCGTCTGACAGACTTTAGACTTTTGCCAGGCTACGATAATGGATTTAAATAGTTTAATATTTACTAGCTCTATTTCAGCACAAATTTGATTATTTAAACACGCTGGTAACTGATAGGTGTTTATGACTGCTGCACCAAATTTATTATTATGTCAAATTATAGGATTGGAGTATAAACACCCGAAACCGCACTGTTAAACGTAATTTTATCATTTATATTTTTGTGCACCACTGATGGTTAGTGTTGCCCAAATGTGAGACCGAGACGAGTCTTGGTCTTGGTCATTGTCATGGTCTTGGTCTTGGTCTTTGTCATGGTCTTGGTCTTGCGCAAGACTCCCGCAATAGTCTTGCATTTACATATTAGCTTATTACTATAGAGATATTACTGTATTTTTTTAGATAGGAGAAACCTAACTTAGCCCAAATGAAAAATTAGAGGAGTGAAATGCAAAATTATATTGATTATTACCATACGAATATACGAATTATTACCATATAGTAATTAAGATTGTCAAGTATCAGTAACTACTTTGCTTTAATTTTTATTTTAAAAATCGATTATTTGACCAGTTCTGGTCTTGGTCTTGCAATAGTTAGGCTGACTTGGTCTTGGTCTTGCAAAGTGCAAGGCCAAGACCGATTTTGGGCAACACTACTGGTGGACATAGCTAAGAAAATTTTTGTCTTGTTTGACTTGTGCCGCCGTAATTATTATAGTTATAAACTTCTCCGTTTAACGTTTAGAATCTCAAGGGTCTCCTTTTTCTATTTAGCACTTTAAAATTGAAAAAATATTCAGTTATGCAGGTATAATCTCCATTTAAAAAAAAACACCTTTTTATACCAATGATGGACACCCCAAAATTTAATTGTTCTAGAGATGGGCAGATGGTCAGTACCAGTAATGGACATATCTCAGATTTTTTTTATTATGATATTTAATAACATGAAAACGCTTGTTGAGAAACTACTCATTGGTAGGACTCTAATAATATGTATGCATGAGGAGATCACGAG